TGGGTGACCTGAGTGGAGCTGTTTTGGTAGAGCCATGAGCCAGACGGCCGAGGGTACTGGGAGGATGAGCAGATCGGGCAGATGCTCTGCAAGTCGGGAAAGCAGACAGGACGGGGCTGGAAAACTGGGCAGGTGACAAAGACTGCTTCACAAGGAAAGTCTCAAGACTGCCTGGAGTCACATTAACCGAGAGAGAGGCAGGGGTGAGAATGGGGTGGGAGGGTCCCGAGTCCTCTCCTCAGCCTGTGTGGCCACCTCGACTCACTGCATCCCCACCAGGTGTTGGAGGCAGCCGTGCTTCCAGCATTTCACAGAGGGGAGACAGGCACGGAGATTAAGAACCACCCTGATGCCCCACCATAGGTAAGTGGTAGCGCGGGGGCTGCTCTGGGGGCCCCTCAAACTCACTGCATCCCAAAACCAAGCTCAGATGCACCCCTTCCCTTCCAAGCATGGAGGGGAGTTCAGCACGAAATCCTGACTCTCCAGCCATGGAGTCCTCCCCCCATTCCCCTCAACCCCTGCCCTGTCTCAGGCCTGACACCCGAGTGGTGTCCTATCTCCCAGCCTCTTCCCACCACCCTTGCCAGCAGCCTCCACGCACAAACCCCTCCGCTGGCTTCTCATCACCCTGGAATAAAACCACAGGAGTCCAGACAGTCACACTAGGGACTTCTTTCAAGGTCCTCCACCATCTGGCCTGGGCAGCCCCCTCCACTGCGCCGACTTCCTCTTTCCTTTCCTGAATTCTGCTCTTCTGCAGACACACCACGGCGGTCCCGGTTCAGGGCCTGGCCTGTGTCCTAGCTCTTCCCTCTGCCCAGCACTCTTCTGAGGTTCTCAACAGGCCCCTTCCCTCAGGTCCCTTCAGGACTCTGCTTCAATGTCACCTCTCCAAGAGCCCTTCAGAGCAAAGTGCCATGCCGCCATCACCCGCCACCTCCTTCCCCAGCTTTCCTCTCCTGCCTGTGACTGCCTGTGCTGCCTGATGCCTGCTTTGGCTGTGTATGACTCCATCTCTCCCACCAGAACACGCACAGAGAGCTGAGACCTCGTCTGGCCTATTACCTGCTGCATTGCCATATCTGAAGACGCAAAATGGGGGCTGGCCATAGTATGCACACGCTGAATGAATGCCTGAACTCAGAGAGGAACTGCTCAGAACACAACTACCTGGGCCACAGACCCCAGCCCCATGGCCACCGTTAGGACTGAGATTCAGCGCCTCACTCAGGCATTTAAGGCCTTCCTGATCTTCCCGATCTTCCCTCCTGAGGCATTCCAGATGGAACTTCTCCCACAACCAAACTAGCACCCCACAAAGTAACCTGACCCAAACTCCCCTCTCCCTGGGGAAGCCTCACCCCAGCCCACTCCCCATCAATGTCCCACGAGACCCGTGAGACATGAGCCTGCCGGCCTTCGAGCCTCCCCAAAGCTCCAGGCCAGACTCCAGACCTGGCACAGGGCTTGTGCCGCTCGGCCCAGAACCCATGGGCAGTAAATATTTGTTGAATGATGCTTGTTTGGGTATAAGCACTCCCCTGGCACTTGCACGCTGCTGTGCCCACTACAGTGGCTACTGACAGGCGGGGTGGGGGCGAGGGGACAGTGTCGAAGGCCAAATGACCTGAGGTGAGACTTGGTGTTTAAGGAAAGGGCAGGATGCTCCGGCCTTAGGCAGCCAGAGGCAGAGCTTCATGCAGTTTCTGCCTCAGATGTGCTCCCTGGGGGAACAGACCTACTTCTGGAGGCCAGGCAGGCATGGGAATGAGGGATGTGAGCATGACAGCTGCCACGTGGAAAGGTCAGCTCAGGTGAGCCCGGTCAGCCCCAATTTTCAAGTGGGGCAGCCAATCCGTACGGGAACGTGAAATCCACCATCTTAGATGTGGGCCATGAATTCAAGATCACCAGCCGGGTCAACACAGGGCCAGTTCCAGTTCACACGCCCTGTCCCTCTATTTCTGACACTGTACTCTCCCCTCGTTGCTCACTTTCTACCTTTACAGCGTCCAGCAAAGCCCTCTGGAGCACTTGTGGCCTGCCAGGAGTGGCTTCCCTCTCTGTCACTCCACACCCCGGGGCTGGCTGAGCCTGTGAGGGCGGTGGTCGGGGGGGGACCCGGAGCCAGACCTTGTCCTCACCTTCATTGTGCTGTGTGAGGGCGGTGGTCGGGGGGGGGGGGGACCCGGAGCCAGACCTTGTCCTCACCTTCATTGTGCTGAGCTCTTCTCCTCTCATCTCGGGGTGTTCTGGTTCCATCAATTTTTCTAGAAAAGGAGGAAAAAAAAAAAGGGGCATGTATTATCACAGATTTGTTTGTCTAAGCATTTGTTAAGTATTAGACTTAAAAATTATCTTTTTCAGGTAAATCCACGTGCAAAAACGAGATGATACTTTATGTGCACTAAAGAAGCAGAAACAGGCAAAGAAAAAAAAATTACACCATGTGCCCGCTTCATGCTAACTGCCCAGCTTCTACTCCAGAAACCCCTCCCTTCAGTTCCAATGCCAGGCCCGCCTGGTGTCCCCTGCACATACGGAGAGTAGGGGTGTGTCCGGGGGGCGATCGTCCTCTGTGTTCCTGTCTGAAGCACATCCTGGGGCGTCATCATGACGTAGAATTGGCCTGCAGGGATAGTGGGGGTTAGTGGCAAGACAGGGTGAAGTCAGAACTGGTTGCAGGGGCTTCCCTCCCTGCTGGGCCCGCTGCCTCCCCGACCTGCCAACCTGGCTTCCTCCTCTCCTCACCTCCAGCCTGCAAGCTCTGGTCTGTGGTCTGCACGGACACAGCCGTAGTATCTCCCACACTGGACGCTGGGAAATAGGCAAATCGTGCCTCCCCGCTGACAGCCTCGGCCGCAGGGCTGCCACCATTGCTGAAGGGATTTTGGATCACAGCCTGGGGAGTAGGAGGACAGAGACTACCCTTAGCTTTCTCTGTTCCTCTATCCGGTCCCCTCATTGCTGTGCTCGGGGTTTACTGCATTCTCCGCAGTTAACAGGAGTGGGGACTCCTTCTGCGAGTAGCATTCTGTCCTGTGTCTCAGACAGCCCTGGAACATGGCAGGAGGTCAGCGATCACTTGCTGAGCCAATCTGTTTTGCACTCTAAGAAACTTTCCTCTTAGACACATCATTCCCATTTTGCAGAAAAAAAAAATTCCAAGAGCACCGTCCCCAGGTTTCAAGGTGCACAAGAGGGATCTGACCCCATGCAGCCTGAGGCTTGAAGGCAGTATCTCCTGGGCGACACCTGCCCCACCCCCGGGGATCCCCAAGAGCAGAGTCAGTGTCCCCTCTCCACCCCCCGTCCAGGGGTGGCAGGGCACCTACCAGCGGGAAGGGCGCTGCAGGACCTGGGGGCACAGAGGCAGCGGCGGGGCCCGGGCGCTGGGCTGCCCCGTCCACACCCACCTGGGTCACAGCCTGCTGCCCCCCCGCGAAGGCAGCGGTGGACACGACGCTGACGGCGCCAGTCGTGTCGCCCTGGCCGTCCAGCTGACCATCAGTCACCTGGACTACGCGGTATGTCACCTGCAGGGGGCGGCAGAGCGGCGAGGCCGGCGCTGGGGCCAGGTCCGAGCCTTCCCGGCGCGCCCGTCCGCCCGCTCGCTCGCTCGCTCGCCCGCCCTCGCGGCCCGCAGCTCACCTGTCCTCCATTTGTCTCTGTGCGGAACTGGTACTGGATGTTGTGGTCGCCGAACGCCGCCTGCTGGACGCTGGTGATGGCCACCGCTGTCTGCTCCTCCGCTCCTGGGCCGTCCCCGCCTGGGGCCGAGGAGGGTCGGGGCACGATCACGGCCGCGCCGGGCGCCCCCAGCCCTCCCCGGGCGCGGCCGGCCCCGCAAACACTCACCTTCCTGCAGCTCGACACCCTCCTCCGCCTCGGGTCCCTTGTCGTGGCTGCCGGGGGCACAGGAGGGAGCGGGATCAGCGCGGCTCGCGCCCCCGCCCCCGCGCCCAGCTGCAGGGCCCCCGTCCCTCCCGGCTGCGCCTGAGGCCGGGGGCGCTGCCGGGGCCGGGGTCCGGGGGCGGGAGACGCCAGGTCCCCCCCCGCTTCGGCGGCCTCCATTTTGAGCCGGGCCCGCGGCCGCTCGGGATCATGGCGGCCCCGGCCTGCAGGCCGCGGGGCCGGGGCCGGGACGCGGGGGCACGGCCAGGCCGGGGATCTTACCTGGCGGCGGCAGCAGCGGTAGCCGAGGCAGCCGATCAGACCCGGGGTCCAGCATGTCATGGGGGGGGCGGGGGCGGGGGGCGCGGGCCCGGGGGGAGGGAGGCGGAGGGGAAGGGAGGGTGACCGGAGGGGAGGGGGCCGGGGGGGGCGACCGGACCACGGCGCTCCACCCGCGCGGCAGGAGGGGACGGAGGAGATCGGGAGCCCGCTCGCGCTGATCACCGGGACAAGGAACAGTGGGGTCATGGTGGGAGGAGATGGCCGCCGCCGCCGCGCAGCGCCGCCGCCCTAATGCAGCCGGCTGCAGGCCCGCCGCCTCCGCCTCCACCCGCCCCGCCGGCTCCGGCGGCCGCGCAGCCGCGGACCGCCGCGACGGCACGCCCCAGGCCCCGCTCCGCCCGCCCGCCCGCCCGCTTGCACGCGGCCTCGGGCGCTCCTTCCTGCAGCGCGCCGGCCGCCGGCGACTCTTTTTTTCTGAACACGCCGGCCCGCCCTGCTTGGCCGGCGCCGGTGCCCCTGGATCCCGGCGGCTCGCGCGCGCGCCGCCGCCCGGCTGGGCCCAGTCCGCGCGGCGGATCGCTGCTGCAGCCGGCCGCCGCTTTCTACTTTCCCCCTTTTTTTTCCTCCTTTACTTGAGCTGCCGCGCGCGCGCGGCGGCGGCGGCGGAGGCGCGAGCCCGGCGGACGCGCGCTGGGGGAGGCGGCCGGAGCGCGCGCGCTGGCTGTCTCCGGGGCGGGCGGCGGCGCCGCAGGCCCGGGGCTCCGCGGGGCGCGAGGTCGCCGCGCGCCGCCCGGGTGAAACGAGGGTCCGGATGGAACGTCGGGGAACCCGGAGGAGGGGCTCGGGTCGCCGGGGGCCAGGTGGGCTGCCCGAGTTTGGAGACTACTAGTAAAGTAGGTCGGTGGGGGGTGGGGGGGATGGGCTGGAATGGGAGAGGGGCGCGCGCGCGCGCTCCCGGCAGTCGGCCTGCGGAGCGCGAAGGCGGAGGACCGGGGCGCATGCGCACGCCTGGGCGGGGCTGGGGCGCGCACGCAGGCGGGCGGCGGCTGCGCGGCTGGGCACGTTCTCCGGCCGGCGGCGCGGGCGCGGGCCGGGCCAGGCTGGGTCTCTCCTTCCCGGCCCGGGACTCCGGCGCCCCCGGGACGCGGGGCTTTACAGACACACACGGGAGCAGTCCCCGTTCCCCGCCCTACGCGGCTGAACAAATGGTTCTCTCCAGAGCTTGTGATTATACGTTTTATTAGACTCGGAAGGGGCATGGCAGGGCTTCATCAGTGTTCCTTCAAATTAAAAAAAAAAAATACAAAAGCTACGTAGAAAACGTCAGATCAGACGACTAAACTTTCCCGACTCAGGGCCAGGTTCTGCAAGGGAGAAAGAAGAAGGGTATGAGCCGCGGGGACCGGCTGGGGACCCAGGGACGATCTGGACGCCAGGGAGGGCAGCCCTCACCTTCTTGAGCCTGCGCTCGCGGGACGCCTGCGAGTCGGTCTCCGAGTACGGGGGCGGCGCGGGCGGATAGTAGGCCTCTTCCTCCTTGTAGGGTCTCCGTCTCTCCCCCGACCCCTTCTTCCTCACGGCCTCCTCCAGTAGCCGCCCATCATAGGGGGGGTCCCCGGACCTGGAGCCGTTGTCCCGAGGGTCCCGGGTACGGTGGTGGTGGGACCTGGGGTCGGCAGGGAGGCGCTCCCGAGACCTGATGTCGTCGTAGTGAGGGTCCCGGGAGCGTGGGAAGTCTCTCGAGTCTTCTTGGTCATAGAGGTCGTCCCGGCTGCGGCTCCGCGGGGGCATGTAGGCCCGGCCTCTCCTCCCACCACTACTCGGGGGAGACCTGCTCCCTGACTCGGCGGAGCTTGGCGGGGTGAGGTCGTCCAGGGCGTCCACGGAGCGGGCCCGGGGCCGCGTGGCCCGCCAGCCCCCGCCTGCCTGCTCCCTGGGGGTCTCTGGGTCCCATCCCCTGGGACTCCGGGGGGAGTGGCCACCCCACTCCTCATCCCGGATCGGGGTGAGGGCAGGGCCCCGGGGAGGCCGAGATCGCCAGTCGTCCTCATGGAGGGAGGTGACTTCACTCATGGCTGCAGGGAAGGGGGGTGTCACTGACTACTGGAGGAGCCCAGGTTTGCCCAGGTCCAGGGTTTGCACCAACAGTCCCTGGGGCAGGTATCAGGGAGACATGCTTCCCCCCTCCCCCCCGCAAGCTTAAAAGCCCTCAGACCCCAAGGCTCTTGCTCACCCCGCTCCACACGGCCACTGGGGGGGCCAGGTCGAGAAGGGTCGAAATTGGCCAGCTCCTTCTCCATGTAGTACAGGACCCGCATGGAGTCGTCTTGCTGGCTGGCCTGAATCCTGTAGCCACTGCGGACTTCTAAGGACAGGGTGGTGGTGGTCGGTTTGGGAGGATGGATCCTGGCCCAGCCCTCCCCCTTACAGGCACATCCAACTTTGGGATGATGGATTCTCACCAGAGGCCACACTGCTGTCTGTGTCCCGAAGCAGGGGTACGTAGGAACCTTGGCCACCAGCTGGGAGAGAGTGGCTGTCAGTTGCTGCTCACCAGGAGCAGAGCCCCTCCTCAGCTCCCAAGACCCTCTTCCTTCCAGCCCCTGCCCCTCAGTGTCCAGATGCCCAGCACACCCCCACCAGCTGTTCCTGCTTCCCCCAGCCTCACCTGAGCTACTCCTGTCGAGGTCCCCAGGGTACCCTCCAGGGTACCCATTGTAGGCAGGGCCCATGGGAATCACAGTTGGTGGGGGCGGGGTCTTGGCGGGAGACAGGTGGGCATAGGTGCTGGGGGCATAGATGCTGGGAACACCTGAGGTGGCTGCTTTGCCGGCGGCATACACTGTGAGGACACAATGAACTTGAGAAGGCGGGTGGGGCAGGAGCCAGGCTGCCCCATACCCATTGGCTTTCAGAGGGACCTGGGCCTGGACCTCCTTCCCAAGCCGCCCTCTCCACTGTAGAGCTTCCGTGGGCATCTGAGTCCCTGCTGGTCCTCATTCCATTTCTGCAGCATCCCTGAGGTTGGGGGACACCAGCTTCACAGAGACCCCACCCCACTTCCTGTGTGGTTTTTCAGAGGGTGCACACAGGCAGCCCACGGCCCCAGGGTGGCAGGACAATGTTTCATTTAACAGCACGGTGATTTGCCAACGTTTGCCAGTCAAAAGGTTTTACCTAAGCTTCCAACTCCCCAGCTAACTTACTGGAAGAAGTGGCCACCCACAGTCTGTGTGTTTACAGGGCAACAAAGCTGCCCCTTTATATAAAGCCCAGGTGCTGGGTCCACCACTGTCCCCACAAGCCAAAATCATGTATCCTCTTTGGCGGCCAAGCCCCTGCTCTAGAAAAAATGAGTCATCTGGGAGACGTGCATCCTGCCCACCTGGTCACCTTCCAGACCGAGATGCAATGGCAGGAGCCTCAGGAGTTAACTTGCCTGCCCTGGCCAAGCAGCAGTATCTCCTCCAGTGTTTCTAACTCATGGACTGCACCCATTCCTACCCACCCTGCCAGGGTCTAGGCTTGACAGCTCCAGGTAAGATCCTCCTCCCTAAGGCAAGAGGCTTGCAAAGTTCCTGGGCCGTAGGCAAGTGGCTTCCTCCCTGGGACCCCAACGGGAAAATGGAGGAAAGAGATGAGCCCAGAGAGGGTGCCTCACCTCTGATTTGGTTTGGAAGCAGAAGGCTAAGTGCACAGCCTAGAGGAAGCCCATTCATTAGCGCAGGTAGCCTGCAACTTCATCAGTGGCAGTGGGACCTGCTGCCTCCTGACAGGTGGGCAGAGGCTGTGGCAGCAGCAGATGTAACAGGGCCTCTGCCAGAGAGTTAATGGGGCCCCAGGCTGGGGTAACAGGGTCTCCAGATGGAGGAAGTGTGGTGTTGGGACAGGGGAATGTGGCATTGGGACCAGCATTTACAGTCCTGGCCCTAGCTGTGGTCTTAGTCAGTTCACTGCAAACTTGGTTGCAGCCTATCTGTGAAAGGGACCTGACACTCACTGCCTGAGCAAAAAGCTGTGAGCTAAACACAAGAGGGAGGGGATGGGATGGTCTGCATAAGCCTCCAGGGAGCAGTGGAATTTTTTCAGGAAAGCGATCCTTTGAGGAACCAGGTTGCACACCACTGACTTCAATGACTATAAAATTAGTCAGTGATTTCCTTAATACCCACAACACCCCATGAAGTGGGGACCTAACAGAAGGAAACAGGACTCAGAGAGGGAAGGCTGCTTCTCTGGGGTCACTCTGTGTGCACCAGGGCTCTGACTGGTGCCCTGGCCCTCAGTCACTACCGAGGCTGAGAGTGGCAGTGCCCAGCAGCTGGCAGACGTAGAATATTTTATATAGATCAGGTCCCGTGCTCAATGGCGTGCACATGAGCTCACCGAATCCCCAAACGCACCCAGAGCGGTGAACTTTGCCATAAGCCCCATTTCACAGGGGACGACACTGAGCTTTAGGGAGGGAAACTGCTCACTGGGCTTCTGAGCAGGAAGGTGTCAAGCAGGCCTCAGCTCTCCACCTGCCCACGCTTGCAAGGATTGCCTGGTACTTCACTGTTCATGTGTCTTGGACTGCGCAGAAAGGCTAGTCTACCCAGACACCCTCCTGAAGGAAACCAAGGACTGGCAACAGCTGTGGTCCCCGAGGAGGGGAAATGGGACAGCAGTTGCAGGGATGCTGAAGTGTCCATCAGTGCCACTTAGTGTACACGCTGTGGCCTGGTGTCCCGGGGCTGATGGCTGTGACCACGTCTATCAGCTCCTCTGTGAAAGTGTCCCGTTGGGATATTCACAAACATTCACAGAAGAGAGGCAGAAGCAAGTCTTTTTCAATTGCACATGTCTGACTCCTCTCATAGAGTTAGGTCTCTCTCTCTCTTCTGTCTTCTCTTACCTTCCCCTGCCTGGTTTGCTTACTTCCCCTTTAGCTCTAGTCCCACAGCCAGTCCCAGCTCTTCACAGTACCCATGCTGGTGTGCTAGATATGACCCTAGACGTAGTAACTGGGCAAAATGTGCAGCATTCCTGTGGATATGTTTTCAAAAATTTGCTTAAATTTGGCCAGGCACAGTGGCTCATGCCTGTAATCCTAGCACTTTGGGAAGCCAAGGTGGGGGTGGGGCGGGGCGGATTGCCTGAGGTCAGGAGTTCGAGACCAGCCTGGCCAACATGGCGAAACCCTGTCTCTACTGAAAATACAAAAATTAGTCAGGCGTGGTGGCAGGTGCTATATCCCAGCTACTCAGGAGGCTGAGGCAGGAGAATAGCTTAAACCCGGGGGGCGGAGGTTGCAGTGAGCCGAGATCGCGACACTTCAGTCCAGCCTGGGCGACAGAGTGAAAATGTCTCAAAATAATTGCTTAAGTTTAAGGCCAGGTGTGGTAGCTCATGCCTGTAATCCCATCACTTTGGGAGCCTGAAGCAGGATCACTTGAGGTCGAGTGTTTAAGACCAGCCTGGGCAACATAGCAAGACCCTGTCTCTACAAAAAAATTTTAAAAATTGGCTAGCATGATGGCACATGCCTGTAATCCCAGCACTTTGGGGAGGCTGACTTGGGAGGATCACCTGAGGCCGAGTTTGAGATCAGGCTGGGCAACATACTGAGACCCCGTCTCTACAAAAAACAACAATCAAAAAATTAGCTGGGCATGGTGATGTGTGTCTACAGTCCCAGCTGCTCTAGAGGCTGAGGCAGGAGGATTGCTTAAACCCAGGAGTTGGAGGCTGCGGTGAGCTATGATCGCACTACTGCACTGCCTGGATGACAGTGAGACCCTTTCTCTAAATAAAAAAAATTTTTTTTTGCTTAAATCATGTAGTGTTGTAAACCTTGTTTGGTTTCTTACCTTTTTCACTTAAGATTTGTTTTCTTTTTTCTTTTTTTTTTGGGACAGTCTCACTCTGTCACCCAGGCTGGAGTGCAGTGGCGTGATCTCAGCTCACTGCAACCTCCACTTCCTGGGTTCAAGCGATTCTCATGCCTCAGTCTCCTGAGTAGCTGGGATTACAGGCGAACACCACCATGCCCAGCTAATTTTTGTATTTTTAGTAGAGAACGGGGTTTTACCATGTTGGCCAGGCTGATCTGGAACTCCCGACCTCAAGTGATCCGCTCGTCTTGGCCTCCCAAAGTGCTGGGATTACAGGCGTAATCACTGGGCCTGGCCGAGATTTGGTTTTTTAAGAGGGCTTTACTTTCATGTGAATAGTATCTTGTACTGTTGAACATTTTTACCATGTGTATGGATTATACTTACAAAAGAAAAAAACAACATACATAAAAAGAAACTGAAAGTTGGAGGAAGTAAATGACAATCTAAAGCAGCAGACCCTCCTCAGCCTACTTTCTCCCCACTTGCTAAATTCACGCCCTCCAGACCAATGCCACTGTCCTGGGGGCAGGTGGATGGCCAACTCCTTCCCTCGGACTCAGGATGTTGCCCGAACCAGGGTGGCCATGAGCAGGGTACTTACGGGCCTCAGGGCAGCAGCACTTGTCTGGGCAGCAGGGGCACCTGACGTAGCAGCAGCAAGTGTGTGGGCAGCACTGGCACCAGCAGATGCCCAGGAGGAGGAAGACGAGGAAGGCAGCCAGGCACACCACAACCACGAAGAGCCAGTCTGCAAAGAGAGAACAGGCCCTGAGCCCAGAGGCTTGGGAGGAAACAGGGCACAGCAGGGGCACACAGTGCGCAACCAGCACTGAGGTCGGCGACTATTTGCAAAGCTCACCAAGGAACCTGCAGCCCTGGCTGGATTCTTTGTGCTAGAGGCTGGGCATGGCACACTCCCCATTCTACCATCCCGGCCAGTCCCCAGTTAGGGCCCTCCCGCAGGTGCAAATACACAAGGCAGAAAACAAGAGGCAGCCTGCCCAGAGGGAGGCAGACTGCAGCCCCCAGACCAAAGAGAGCCAGCTGCCCAGACACCACGCCCTCAAGAGCACTGCAGGTGCCAGTCACAGAGCCCCGGCCTGCACCCCGGCTCTCCTCAGCCCAGCCCAGCCCAGACCACTAGATGCCTCAGAGCCACAGTCAGGCCAGGTTAGTGAGGGGTCCACAGTGAGCAGGGTTTAGTGGGGAAGGGGATACTAACTAGAGTCAGAAGCAGTAGGTGATGTGTGGGAGCTCCTCAGAAGCCCAACACAGGATCCACCCCCCGTACCTTCCATGGGCCCCGCCTGAAAACCAGGTAAGAGCTCAGCCACCCCTGAGGTCCTCCCTGGAGGGACAAAAGAGAAATAGATTATGCTGGCCAGAGCCAGCCCAGGCTGCACCGCCCCCGAAAGCCCAGTTCCAGGCTGGCCAAGTGGAAGGTGTGCCCTGGAGTGGGGAGGGGCTGAGGACTGAAGCCCTAGCGCATGGCTCCTGCCCTCCACCCGCCCACATGTGGGTGCTCATAGGAAAGAAATTCCCATTGCATAATCCACCTGTGTCTCATGCCACGAGGACTCCAACACAAATCCCAGGGGGTTCTGAGGGCTCTGCCTCAGCTTGGGCACCCTAAGTTTTCCTCATTCATAGGTTTTAGCACCCCAAAGGGCTCCAACCACGATGATAGGGATGTCCTGTTCTAGCAGGCACAGTGCCCTAGGGCCCACGAGATAAGGAGACAGACAGGATCTCAGCTCTGTTGCCCAGTCTGCAGTGCAGGGGTGCGATCATGGCTCACTGCAGCCTCAACCTCCTGGGCTCAGGCGATCCTCCCACCTCAGCCTCCGGAGTAAGTAGCTAGGGCTACAGGCACGTGCCACCACACCTGGCTGAAATGGTTTAATTTTACTTTACAAATCTGAAAAAAAATAAACACTGAATATATAGTAATAAACTGTCTTTGTGAGAATATAATCACAAATTTTTGTTTTAAAACAGGAAGGGACCCATTGAAGCAAAAATGCCCACATATGAAAGTCATACGCAGTCCTGGTTCTGGGGCCCACAGGGTCTCCATCTCTACTCAGGCACTATCACATTCACGCATCTCAGACCAGGTTCTTATCTTCCCTCGAGTGCCCCCTGGAGCTCTGAGCCCCACCAGCGTTGTGTCTGAGGGGCCTCCACAGGCCCAGTTCTGCACCCACGAAGCCCTCCCCAGAGCTCATGCACTTGGCACCGTAGGCCCTCGCAACAGGACAGAGGCATGTCAGTCACGGCTCTCAAAGCATGGTCCTGTCCACAAGGCCAGAAGAAGTATTTTTAGAAAAGCACTAAGATGTTATTTGTCTTTTACACTTGTTCTCCCATGAATGTCCAGTGGAGTTTCCCAGGCTCCCCGAAGTCATCATCGCCCTGATGCCTAATGGACTATATGCTTGTGTGTGTGTGTGTTTCTTGAGCCAGGGTCTCTGTCACCCATGCTAGAGTGCAGTAGCATAATCACGGCTCACTGCAGCCTTGACCCCCTGGGCACAAGCGATACTCCTGCCTCAGCCTCCCAAGAACCTGGGCCCACAGGTGCATGCCACCACGCCTGTTAATTTTAAAATTTTTTGTAGAGTCAGGGTCTTGCCATGTTGCCCAGTCTTGCTTGTGTATCTTGGGCTTGAAAAATTTCCCCATTTTAATTCCTAATATATTAAGCAACATATAGACATAAAACCCACAGGAACAAACAAAAGCTCTTGGAGACCCTCGATAATTTTTTTAGAGTGTAAACAGACCCGGAGACTACATTTTGGGAACTGCTGATGCAAATGGTGCATTTTACCAAAGAACACGAAGAGGTTCCTGGGTCACTGGTGCACGTGTTCCGTCCCCCACACATGAACTCTGTCTTGCAGCCCAAGTACTCCCCAGTCACGTGCTCACTCACACATGTGAAGATGGCAGTGTACAGCCCAGCGGCGTCACTCCTGCAGAGCACACGCCACACGAGACTCCGTGTGTTGGCTTACAGCAGGGCACCTGGCGGATGGCAGCATCCCCTAACACATGGAGGGAGGCCTCCCAGCCACACAGACACCCCGCCCTGCCCCTGGGTGTCTGGAATCGGCTTCGTTTCAGCTGCACTCACACACTCTCTGTGTGTGCCATGCAGCGCCATCCCAGCGGGGCACACGGCAAAGCCACTGTGCTTTAGCGAGGGACTCAGGTGAGATGAGGCCTTGGGGATGTAGCAGGAGGTGGGTCAATTTTGCACACCATCAACTGTCCTCATTCACTGCCCATGGACTCTGACCATGTCTGGATTTTTGTTTTTTGTTTTTTTTGGGACGGAGTCTCGCTCTGTCGCCCAGGCTGGAGTGAGTGCAGTGGTGTGATCTTGGCTCACTGCAACCTCTGCCTCCCGGGTTCAAGCAATCCTCATGCCTCAGCCTTCTGAGTAACTGGGATTACAGGCATGTGCACCACCACGCCTGGCTTTTATGTTTTTTGTAGAGACGGGATTTTGCCATGTTGGCTAGGCTGTTCTCGAACTCCTAGCCTCAAGTGATCCCCCCGCCTCCGCCTCCCAAAGTGCTGGGATTACAGGAATAAACTACTGCACCCGGACCCCAAGTCTGGATTTTTTCTTTAAATGAGACTTTGAAGGGGCAGAGTCGCCAATTCTCTCCACTCTTAGTTTGGCTTGGCTGATTGGAGGCACCGTGGGCCAGTGGTCCCTGCCTGGGGTGCAGGGCACAGGGGGGCCTAAGTGACTGGCAGAGCCTGGGGGAGAACAGAGCAGGCGACAGAGCCCAGAGGGTAAGCTGGAGGGCAGAGGGCGGACACGGGGGAGGACAGACAGAACAGAAGCGGACAAAAGGAAGGGCCATGCCTCCCCCTTCCCAGGCCCACTCACCAAGGACGATGAGCTCTGCGTAGGCCTCATTGTTCCCCTCGAGGTCCTGGGCTGAGACCACAGAGCAGTAATACACACCGCTGTCCCCCCACGCCGTCTCGTCAAAGGTCAGGTCAGCATCTGGGTCAGGATGAAAAGGCGTGAGGGCACCTTAGAGGCCGGGGCACCTAACCCCACGAGGGTCAGAGCCCCCTTCCCAGCACATCCAGGAGGGGGCAAGCGGTGGGCTGGGCAGGCTGAAGATGATCAAATGCATATGCAAAGATTCCTACCAATGGCACGCGGCCTTTTACGCCCCGTTCGAAACACCTGGACTACTACAAGAAGTCTGTGAGGCAGGGCCGTTATCACTCCTGTTTTGTGGATGACGTATCGGGTCTGGAAAAGCTGCACAGCTCCTCAGTGTAGAGCAGTAATGGTGCCCTCAGAGCCTGAGGTTGGTTTTTTTTCTTTCTTTCGAGACAGGGTCTCACTCTGTGGCCCTGGCTGGAGTGCAGTGATGTAATTATAGCTCACTGCGGCTTCAACCTCCCAGACTCAAGCAATCCTCCCACCTCAGTCTCCTGAGTAGTTGGGACTACAGGCACACTCCACCACACCCAGCTCTCTTTTTTTGTTTGAATCAGAGTTTCGCTTTTGCTGCCCAGGCTGGCGTGCAATGGCGCGATCCAATCTTGGCTCACTGCAATCTCCGCCTCCCATGTAGCTGGGATTACAGGCACCTGCCACCATGCCTGGCTAATTTTTGCATTTTTAGTACAGATGGGGTTTCGCCATGTTGACCAAGCTGGTTTCGAACTCCTGACCTCAGGTGACGCACCCGCCTCACCTCCCAAAGTGCTGGGATTACAGGCGTGAGCCACCACACCCAGCAGTCTGTGCTTCTCAACTTCCAGCCATCTCTGAACCACCTCTCAGATCCAAAGTCTGAACTCCCCTGATGTGAACTGCCACCCACAGGGCCTAGTGTACACCCCAGGAATGGGTGTGGAAATAAACAGTCCAGATTCTAGGTACCAGGAGATGCCCAGGCACCCATAAGGAGTGGGTGTGTCTGTGTGGGGGAGAGAGACTTACCCTCCCAGGGCCTTGGTCCCTCCCCCTCCCCTTCATCCCCACATTCCAGGTCAGGCCCAGGGCTTGGGGACGCTCATGTCTGAAGCAGCTGCAGACAAGGAGCCTGTTAACTCTGCCAACCATCAAAGTGTTTTGGCACATCCTGTTTCCTCTCTGCTCCTCAGGCCCTAATTAGTTAAATACCTTCAGCCTTTCACCAAGGTGGGACGCGGGCACCTACCAGGCAACTCCGCCTTAGGCCAGTGGGGAGAGAAGTATGCTACATTGGGCATCTCAGGCAGGAAACGCCCTCAGCTTCCCAGCCTCTTTCCTGCCAGCCTGACCTGCCTGCCACCTTCCCAAGGACGCGCTGCCCTCCTGCACGACAGCTCTGTGATGGCGGCAACCACGCGTGCCAGTCCACAGCGCCTGGCACCCCCAGGAATGAAAGAACCCTTTCCTTCTTCCTTCTTCACAAGGAAGGCCTCCTGTCTACAGAAAAATTCTCCTTGCAACAGTGTCTCGCTACAGCATTCTAGACGCCTTCCCTAAGGTCCCATGGTCCCCAAGGCCCTTGGCACAACATGGTCTCTAGCTACCATGCCAACCTCACCCCTGCCATCGCCTTGGCTCTAGATTCGCACTGTCCCCCAATGGGCTGGGCTTCTCCCACAGCTCCCCGAACCAACTGGTGAAGTCTATCTCCCAGCTTAGGGGCCGACCATCCCTTGCCTGGTGAAAATGTGGGCTCCACGAGGCACAGCCCTGTCACTGCTGGGTCCCCAGTGCCTGACACTATACCTGGCCAGGAGTAGAAATGAACACCCTCTTGGCCGGACACGGTGGCTTACACCTGTAATCCCAACGCTCTAGGAGGCTGAGGCGGATGGATCACTTGAGGTCAGGAGTTCCAGACCAGCCTGGCCAACATGGTAAAACCCTATCTCTACCAAAAATGTAAAAAATTAGCCAGGCATGGTGGTGCGTGCCTGTAGTCCCAGCTACTCAGGAGGCTGAGGCAGGAGAATCACTTGAACCCAGGAGGCGGAGGTTGCAGTGAGCTGAGATCGCGCCAGTGCACTCCAGCCTGGGCAACAGAGCGAGACTCCATCGCAAAAAAAAAAAAAAAGAAAAAGAAATGAACCCCCTCTCCCGTCATGCTAAAGTCCCTTAGCTTTTGTCATCTGTCCTGTCATTCTGGGCACATGGCTGGATTCAAAGACACATTTCTTTCATTCATTCATTCATTCTTCAACAATAATTACTGAGTGCCACCTACGCTCTAGGCAGTATTTGAGACACCTGGTATACCACAGCAACAGTTCTCAAACTGCAGCCTCTAGACCCTGGGGTTCCCCAAGACATTTTCAGGAGATCCTGAGGTCAAAGTTATTTTCCCAACAATACTAACTGGAGTTTTCCAGAGGCTACGTGACATATGATAGACATCACAGCAGACCGAAGCAGCTTTGAGAAGCCAGGCTCTTCTATCCAGCCAGGCTTCGGAGACTTGCAAAACAATAAAACCATGCCACCTTCTCATGCACAATATTTTGTCTGGTTTCAGAAAATGATTGTTTTTCATAAAAATTATTTTATTTATGTTAATCTATAATGAGTTGTCATTTAAACTATTTTGTAAACTTTTCTCAGTCTGCTACCTTTGAAAACAAACTCTTTGAGCCTTTATTATTATTATTATTTTTTAAGATGGAGTCTCGCTCTGTTGCTCAGGTTAGAGTGCAGTGGCGCGACCTTGGCTCACTGCAGCCTCCGCCTCCTGGGTTCAAGCGATTCTCCTGCCTCAGCCTCTTGAGTAGCTGGGATTATAGGCGCCAGCTACTCATAACTGGCTAATTTTTATATTTTTAGTAGAGACAGAGCTTTCACTATGTGGGCCAGGCTGATCTGGAACTCCTGACCTCAAGTGATCTGCCCGCCTGGGCCTCCCAAAGTGCTGGGATTCCAGGCATGAGCCACTTTGCTAGGCCTGAGCTCTTAATTAACCTCAAAATCAAGAGTGTAAAGAGGCCTAAGCCCAGAACCTTTGAGTTATAAATCCTTGCCCTTGTCCTTCTAGAGCTCAGATTCTAACTGGGAAAGAAAGACAAATAAAAAATGTAACTGTGTCACATATCAGACGAAGATAAGCTGCATGGAGAAAACGAATCAGGGACAGCAGACAGAGAGTGCCAGGCGTGGAGTGGGGGCTGTGCCATTTTAAACAAGGAGGCCACCGGATATGGTGACCTTCAGAGCAGATGTGAAGGGGTTGAGGACACGACTTCCCCTAACGATCAGGCATCTAAGCCACTGTCAAGTGATCCACCTGCCTCGGCCTCCCAAAGTGCTGGGATTTTACAGGCGTGAGCCACTGCCCTGTGCTCCCACCATTTATTGAGCTCTTACTATGTGCCAGGCCCCTCTGCACACATTCGTTCATTGAATCCTCATAGAATTCTAAACTAGGTTCTCCTAAATCCTCCAGGTTTGCCACAATGCCCTCTTCGTCCATCATTTTTCCACCTGTATCTTTTCTGAGAGGGCCTAGCTTTGTCGCCCAGGCTGGAGTGCAGTGGTGCAATCATGGGTCACTGCAGCCTCGAACTCCTGGGCTCAAGCAATCTTCCCATCTCCAGAGGAGCTGGAATTACCAGGGTGCACCATCATGCCCCGCTAATTTATTTTTTGTAGTGTCTGGGTCTCACTGTGTTGCCCGGGCTGTTCTCCCAACTCCTGTCCTCAAGCAGTCCTCCTGCCTCAGCCTCCCAAAGTGCTGGGATTATAGGCATGAGCCACCAGTGTCTTCAAATGAGACCCTGACTATGCCTCTCCAACAATGGAGCTCAAGAGCTGGTCCCTGCTGTAAGCAAAAGACGTGGACAGGAACCCCCTGACATAGCAAATGGATCTTATAGGCCAGGGGTTGAAATCTGGCATCTCATAGGCCAAGGCTGGACCTCACTGTGTTTTATTTGACCTGTCTGATGTTTTCAAAACCCACAAAAAATATAGTTTTCTGGCTTCTTTTGATCCATCCTAAGGCCTGGGCACACCTTCTTCCTGCCGGGCGTACCCTGTTCCTGGTCCTGGGCTGGCGCTGATCTCACCCAGGCTGAGCATTGCTTTCATTGTTTTAGGTTAGGGGAGGAGATGCCAGGTCTCTAGGGGGAACAGCAGCCAGGCCTCCTCCACATCTCCAATCTCTGGTTCCTTTATACACTGCAAAGGTGACCTTCATGATTTCAGAGGTCCCATGGGCTCTCTGCTGCAGTGCAGCTGGAGCTGGGGGCACTTGGACCCCAAGGAGCCTGAGGAGGTGGAACAGGGCCTCCTGTCCAGGTGCTGGTCTATCACCCAAAGCATGAAAGGATGAAGCAGGGCATGAGCCACCTGACCTGAGGGACGCCTGGAGTGGACGGCCTCCTAGTTCACCCAGGACTATTTTCACTTTTGAAACCAGGATAGGCCGGGGATGGTGGCTCACATCTGTAATCCCAGAACTTTGGGGGGCCGAGGCAGGCAGATCACCTGAGGTCAGGATTTTGAGACCAGCCTGACTAACATGGCAAAATCCCATCTCTACCAAAAAGATACAAAAATTAGCCAGGTGTAGTGATGTGCACCCGTAATCCCAGCTACTCCGGAGGCTGAGGCAGGAGAATCGCTTGAACCTGGGAGGCAGTGGTTGCAGTGAGCTGAGATCACACCACTGCACTCCAGCCTGGGCGACAGAAAAAAAAAAAAGATAAATAAGCAGCACAGTGGGTGACCCTAGGAACACCATGGGGAGTCCACTTTTCCCCATCCTCAAAGCTGAAACGGAGGAAGCTCCTTTGGCTACGGGTTTTCCTGATAAAGGACACACACACAATGGATGTTTACACTCAGGGCCTTGATCAAACACGGGCCCAGGTGGGGGTGGTTTGAAAGACCCAGGCCTGTGAGGCCCCTGAAGCATGCAGGGCCCCTTTCCCCAGACAGAGCCTGGGGGGTCATCCTGGACTTTTGTGCCCAGCAGAGGAAGCACCCTCAGTATTTGGCTTGTCCTGGCAGGAGCTGAGCAGTCATGCCCAGTCCAGGCAGGCACAATCCCTGGGTTAGAGGGGAGGGGGCCTAAGAAGCTCTGTGACCTCAGTAACAGTAGGATGCTCATGGCTGAGCGGCCCACAGAAATCCAGGGCAAGCAAGCCTGGTGCGTCCTCTGAAACAGAACTGACACAGGCTCAGCCCCTGGAACCCTGCTTCCCATCGATCCTCTAGCAGAATGTGCTCCAGTTCCTGGCTTCCTGGGGTCTGCAAAGGGATGCTCCCTTCCCCCTTCTGCCCCATGCCCAACTTTAAATGCTTGTTTAAGACAGTGAACACACACTAAGACATGAGGTAGATGAGCCCTCATCCCTGGCACCCTGCCCCTCCCCTTCCTCTCTGTCTTCTAGGTTCTGTAGGGCCCAGGCCCAGGCCCTCCTCAAATCATATTCACAGCCCAAGTCACTCCATGTAGCACATCACCCAGTGCTATTTTCTTTTCTTTCTTCTTTTTTTTTTTTTTTTTTGCGACGGGGTCTCACTCTGTTGCCCAGGCTGGAGTGCAGTGGCGCAGTCTTGGCTCATGGCAACCTCCACCTCCCAGGTTCAAGTCATCTCCTTGAGGACAGAAACCAGCCACCCCAATCACCTCTATCCCCAGCACCAATGACACATAGTAGATGCTTGATAAATACCAAATGAATGAATGAATGACTGCCCTTTACTTAGTCCCAATAGACACATCCTATCAGGAGGCAGCACTACAGTTAAGAACAAGGGTTCTCAGAGCTGCCTGGGTTCAAACCCCAGCTCCAGACTTTGACTTCCTATGCACCCATTTGAACAAGGTAACCTCTCTGTGCCTCAGCTGTCGGGAGGGTAGAGGAGAGGACTCAATGGGAGAAAGTGTGTGCAGTTCCTAGCACGTCGTAGGCTTTCTCCATTAAGATCTCTTGCCCCTGCAGTTCACTCCTGCCACCTCCTCTGAGTTCTGTGGACCACCCTAGGCAAGCAAAGGGATTAGGAACTTGGCCACTAGACCCGAAGTGGCCGAGTTAGAATCCCAGCCCCTTTACCAGCGATGTGACACTAGGCAAGTCACTTTCTCTCTCTGGGCCTCTGTGAGATGACAATAATAGAATCTATTCAAATACTATGTGGTCTGAGTTAATCCTTGGGAAGCTGGATGGGAGCTTAGCACACAGTAGACCCTTTATAAGTTGTTACTTAGATAAATTTTACTTCTTACTGATCGTGTTATTAATATGATTATAGAACAAACCCTGGCCTCCTCTCTCCATTACCTAGTTTTCTTTATCTTCAAGCACTTGAGAGTGTGTTGTGTTTGTCTCTCTCACTGCAATGTGGGCTCCACGAGGGAAACAGTTTGATGATTTTTTTTTTTTTTTTTTTTTTAGAGGGAGTCTTGCTCTGTGCCCCAGGCTGGAGTGCAGTGCGCAGTCTCGGCTCACTGCAAGCTCCACCTCCCAGGTTCACGCCATTTGCTCTGCCTCAGCCTCCTGAGTAGGCTGGACTACAGGCGCCACCACCGCGCCCGGCTAATTTTTGTGGTTTTTTTTTTTTTTTTTTTTTTGAGACAGTCTCGCTCTGTCGCCCGGGCTGGAGTGCAGTGGCCGGATCTCAGCTCACTGCAATCTCAGCTCACTGCAAGCTCGCCTCCCAGGTTTACGCCATTCTCTCCTGCCTCAGCCTCCTGAGTAGCTGGGACTACAGGCGCCCGCCACCTCGCCCGGCTTAGTGTTTTTGTATTTTTAAGTAGAGACGGGGTTTCACGGTGTTCGCCAGGATGGTCTCTCGATCTCCTGACCTTGTGATCCGCCTCTCGCCCTCCAAAGTGCTAGGGATTACAGGCTTGAGCCACTGCGCCCGGCCAATTTTTTGTATTTTTAATAGAGACGGGGTTTCCACCGGTGTTAGCCAGGATGGTCTCGATCTCCTGACCTCGTGATCCGCCCATCTCGGCCTCCCAAAGTGCTGGGATTACAGGCGTGAGCCACCGTGCCCGGCCTGATGATTTTGTTAACAGCTGTATTCCCAGGGCCCAGAACAGCACCTGGTATATGACAGGTACTCAAAAAATTGTCGTTATTAAATTAAGGAATGAAAGGATTAGCAGAAGGAAGAATAGTAGAATAGAATTGCTCCCTTTAGGCTGGGTATGGTGTCTCCCAGCACTCTGGGAGGCCAAGGCGGGCAGTTCATTTGAGGTCAGGAGTTTGAGACTAGCCTGGCCAACATGCTAAAACCCCATCTCTACTAAAAATATAAAAATTAGCTGGGCGTGGTGGTACATGCCTGCAGTCCCAGTTACTCGGGAGGCTGAGGCAGGAGAATTGCTTGAATCTGGGAGGTGGAGGTTGCAGTGAGCCGAGATCACACCACTGCACTCCAGCCTGGAAGCCTGGAGTCCAGAGCAAGACTCCATCTCAAAAAAAAAAAAAAAAAAAAAAAGAATTGTTCCCTTCATTGGTCCTTTCAGACACTGGCACTCAAGAGCTTTCAGATGGGGACTCCAGGTCCAGTACAAGGATGCCAGCCCCACCACCCGGGCAAGCCCAGCCTCATCCCCCTGCCCCGCCCAACATACTTCCGGTGATGGTAATCCTCCGACCCTGGTAGTAATCTCCCAGGGTCACAGCGTTGCCCTGCTTGGTGGCCACGACCCTGACGGTGCGCACGCTGTCCTGGCACTCGACGTAGGGGTTGTAGCCTGGGTTCCCGGCTGCCAGCTGGACATTGAGCTGGTTGTCGACGCTGGCTGGGGAGAAGGCATCAGCGATGCGGTCCCGGCAGAAAGACTTGTACTTCCAGATGACGATGGGTTGCGTGGGGGTCGAGGTCATCTGGTAGGTACAGGGTAGGGTCACGGGCTGGAAGAGGATCACCACGTGGTAGGGGTCGGACACGGTCACCTGGATGGCCCTGGCAGGGGCTGAGGGCAAGAGGAGAGAAGCAGGGGTTGCTGTGAGCTCAGGGAGGTGTTTCAACAGGAACGCCACCTGTCACCAGCTTGACGCTTGCAAGTGTGTGGCTTACTTACAGAGTGCCTGGCACACATTGTTCCTTAATCGCCAGGACCAGTGAGGTAGGCAGGATAATCATGCCCATTTTATAGACCCGTGGGGCTGAAGTGGCAGGTGCACGGTGACACGGCCAGTTTCCTTGGACTCATCCGCCATCCCTCTTCCCAGCCTGTGGCCTCTGAATCACACTAGTCTCCTCTTCCCTTTGCCATTCACCCACAGCAAGGGGCCTCTGTGTGGCCTGGGCAAGCAAGTCCAAATGGCCATGTCAATGCCCCCAGCGCCCAAGGCCCCACTTCAAAACCGACTACCAAGGATTCCAGGTTATCCGGGGTCTTTTGAATTTGGAGGGAAAACCGCAGAGTTGTTTGCCTGAACTGCTTTGCCATGGAGGGACTAAAGCCCCCACAATATCTCCATCAGCCTCCCACCACCTCACCCTACTCTAAAGTCATTTCAAATGACTTCACCAAAAGCGTCTGCTGAAAGACCTCATCACTACCCAAACATCCCATCCTGGTGAAAGCCTGCCAGCAGAAGTCGGTTTCAAGTCCGTAAATCCACCCCATCAGACTCTTACGCACGTATAATCCGGAACCCCCGGGAGGTGGGTGGGGTGCGGGGGATGGGAAGTCCCTAGTCCCACACCCACCCGAGGCCTGGGCATTGTTCCTTCGTCTCTGTCCCTCTAGGAAGCGTCTGATCCAGCCCTCCCGTGCCCTCTCCCCGTTACTCCAACACTTAGAAAACCCCGGGTGCGCCCAAGCTCCACCCCGGCTTTTCTTTTCCTAGTGATCGGGCGGTCCTCCACTCCCTCCCCACAAAGAGTTCCATTCTCCCTGCCGCTCCGGGTCTTACCGTCCAGGGAGTTTCACTTCCTGCTATCTCCCAGATAAGGGCGGGGGGAGCGCTCCCAGGCACGGATGGGGAATTCCTCTCACTCCGGCACGCAAGAGATCGCCCAAGACCCAGGGGATCGTAAGGACCCAGCCTCTGAGACCTCCCGCTTCCCGCGCCCTAGGCGCCCCCGCCGCCTCCAACTCCATCCATCCCCCTCTACGGTGCCCTCCGCCGTTCCGCAGCGTCAGGGGCCCCGTGCCCCGTACCTGTGAACCAGGTGCTAAGCAGGAGCCACACGAAGACTACCGCGTCCCGGCCTGGGGCGGCCGGGTGGGAGCCCAGCCCTCTAGAGAGCCCGCCGGCCACCAGCGCCATCACGGCCGTCTGGGCGCGTCCGGCCCGCGCGTCCCTTCCAAAGTATCTTAGGGGGCGCAGGGCGCACCAAGGCCAGGAGGGGTGGACGCTCCTCCCCTTCCCACTTCCGTTCCTTATCCCTACAACAAGTCCATCCTGCTGCGTTCTAGAAGTTTTAATGAACGTAAACAAGGTGGACAAAGGGCACGCTTTCAGATATGGGGAAGAAAGGTGCTTGACCCGCCGCGGTTCTCCGAGCCACACTCCACCCGCTGCGCGCTCCGGTGAATGGTTCGGCCCAGGTACACAAGGGTGGGAGCCGAGGGCTGGGCTTGGGGGTGAGCGGCGGGGAGGGGTTCCTCTGCCTCCCTCCCCGGAAGTGGGCTGACCCAGGTGCGCTCCGGCCCCCAGGGCCCGAACCAAGTGACTGGCCCGCTGGGAGGGCGCCTGCGGACCACAGGTCCCGTCCGGCCGCCATCTGCTCCGGCCAAACTAAGCGCACCGAGATCCACGAAACCGAGACCCACTTGGAGCGATTCACCTGTTGAGATAGGGCAGGACCCGCAGCGCACCTGTTCCCTCCCTACCCACACCCCTCTCCCCGGCGGGCGATGGACCCGCCTAGGTGCGCCCTGCCGGGAGGAGCGAGTCTAAGCAAAGTCCTGGCGGGGAGAGGCTTGTCGGTGGCGCCTGACTTCTCCACTTCCACTGGGGTTCGTCCGGACCGGGTGGAGGGGGGCGCTTCAGGCCCCCTGTGTCTCCCAGTTAGATGACCTGAGGAACCCTCTGAAGTCCCCGGAAGGGAAGCTCTGCCCCCTCAGGGATGCCCGAGGGGAATCAGGCCCAGGAAAAGTTGGAATTCCACTGCGGAAGTTTTCGCCACCTCCCCCACCCGTTCCCAACTTATGGTTCGGCCCCTGGGCATCCCTAGCCCCAGGTCAGCCCTCCGGAAATTCTGGCTCTTAAAGGGGCCGAGCGAAGGCGCTGGGCCTGGGACCGGTTTCCGCGTAGGAATTCCCGGGACTAGCCACCTGCAACCGAGGTCCAGGGCGCGGCGCGGCGATCAGCCTGCGCAGCGCTGGGCGCGACTCTGCTGTCTCCAGGTGGCGGCGAGGGGAAGCGCATCCTGGGGGAACCCTGGGCACTTCCTCGCGTTAGACTCCCCCAAGTTGCCAACTGGTCACTGGCTGGTTTCGGTACCCATGCGTGCTTTGTTTTACTGGCCCTGTTAACACTCAAGCCAGTTGACGTCCACCTGCTCACAACCCGCCTGTGGCTCCTCCTCACTCAGCAGAAACTGACCTTCCCTCTCTTATCTCACCTCCTCCCACTCTCTCTGGCTTACTCAGCTTCAGACACCCTGGCCTCCTCGCTGTTTCCAAATATGCTTCTCACAGTCCTCAGAGCCATCGCCCGTGCTACTCCCTCTGCCAGAACACCCTTCCCGCAGATGTCCACATGAACTTCCTCCTCCGGTAGGACACTTTGGCAGTGACACCTTCCCTGGCCACTTTTTATAAAATTTCAACCCGTTCACGTTCCTTCATCATTTTAAAAAATGTTTTTATGATAAAATATGCAAACTATAATATTTATCGTTTTAACCATTTTAAATGTAAAATCCAATGGCATTAAGTACATTCACAATGTCCTGTACCAGTCACCACTCTTTATCCCCGAAACTGTTTCAACACCCCCAACATAAACTCTGTGCCCATTAAACAATAACTCCGCATTACCCACTACCCTTGCCCCTAGTAATTTCTATTCTACTTTGCTTATTAAATTGCTCATTCTAGATGCCTCATATAAGTGGAATCGTCTAACATTTGTCCTGTGTCTAGTTTATTGCATAAAGAATAATGTTTTCAAGGTCCATCCATGTTGTAGTATGTCAAAGTCTTGTAGCATGAAGTAAGATCAAAATTTCTTTTTACAGCGAACTAGTGTACCATTGTATGTATATGCTACGTTTTATTTATCCATTCATTTGTGGATGGACATAGGTTGTTCCTACCTTTTGACTATTGTAAATGGTGCAGCTGTGAACACTGGTGTACAGATATCTGCTTTCATTTCTTTTGAATATATGCCTAGCAATGGAATTGCTGGGTGACTTGGTAGTTCTATTTTTAACCTTTTGAGGAACTGCCAAACTGTTTTGCCCAGTGGCTGCACTATTTTACATTCCCACCAGCCATGCATGGAGGATTCCAATTTCTCCACATCCCTACCAAAACTTATTATCCATTTTCTTGATTATAGCCATCCTGGTTAGTGTGTGAAGTGGCATTTCATTGTGGTTGTAATCTGCATTTCCCCAGTGACTAATGATGTTGAGCATATTTTCACGAATTTATTGTCCATTAGTATATCTTCTTTGAAGAAGTGTCTATTCAAGTACTTTGTCCATTTTTGAACTGGGTTTTTTTTTGTTGTCAAGTTGTAGGAGTTCTATATATACTTTGGATATTAATCCCTTGTTAGATATATGATTTGCAAATATTTTCTTCCATTCTCCAGGTTTTTTCACTTTCTTGATAGTGTCCTTTGGTGCACAAAAGTTCTTAATTTAATGAAGTTCAATTTACCTACTATTTTTTCTTCCTTGTACTTTTGGTCTCCTATTTATGCAATTGTTGCCAAGTTCAATGTGATGAAGATTTCAACAATATTTTCATCTAAGAGTTTTATAGTTTTAACTCTTAAATTGAGTCTTTGAACCATTTTATTTTATTTTGTTTTATTTTTTGAGACGGAGTCTCACTTTGTCACCCAGGCTTGAGTGCAGTGGTGTGATCTCTGCTTACTACAACCTCCGCCTCCCGGGTTCAACCAATTCTTGTGCCTCAGCCTCCCAAGTATCTGGGATTGCAGGTGCGTGCCACCACACAGGGCTAATTTAATTTTTGTATTTTTAGTAGAGATGGGATTTCACCATGTTAGCCAGGCTGGTCTCGAACTCCTGAACTCAAGTGATCCGCCCACCTTGGCCTCTCGAAGTGCTGGGATTACAGACGTGAGCCACTGCACCCGGCCTGAGCCATTTTAATTTTGGTATGTGGTAGAAGGGTCCAACTTCATTTTTTTGCACGTGGATATTCAGTTTTCCCTCTACCATTTGTTGAAAACACTGTGTCCTTTTCCCATTAAGTGGTCTTGGCTTCCTTGTCAAAAATCAATTAATCATATGTGTGAGGGTTTGTTTCTGGGTTCTGCATTCTATTTCATTGATCTATATGCCTATCCTTATGCAAGTACCATATGTTTTAATTACTGTAGCTTTGTAGTAAGTTCACAGTTGGGAAGTGTGAGTCCTCCAACTTTATTTTTTTTTCAGTATTGTTTTGGTTATTGGGGACCCCTTAAAACTCCATATTAATTTGAGGATCTGCTTCCATTTCTTTGGAAAAAGATGTTGGAATTTTGGTCAGCGTTGTGTTGAATCTGTAGATTGTTTTGAGTAGTATTGACATCTTAACGTTAAGTCTTTCTATCCATGAACACATCTTGCCATTTATTTAGATATTTGTTAATTTATTTTGATATTTGTTAATTTATTTTAGCAATCTTTTGTAATTTTCAGTGTACAAGTCTTTCCCCTTCTTGGTTAGATTTATTCCTAAGTATTTAATTGTTTTAGATGCTGTTGTAAATGAAATTGTTTTCTCAATTTCCTCTTCAGATTGTTCAGTGCTGGTGTGTAGAACCACGAATTATTTTTGTGTGTTGATCTTGTACCCTGCAATTGGTTTAACTGTAGTAACTGTCTTGTGAATTCTTTTGGATTTTCTATATATGGATCATGTCATCTCTGAATAGAGATAGTTTTACTGCTTTCTTTCCAATTTGGATACCTTTTATTTCCTTTTTATGTCTGATAGCTCTGGGTGGAACTTCCAGTACAGTGTTCAATAGCCATGGTGAAAGTGAGCATCTTTGTCTTATTCCTGATCTTAGGGGGAAAGCTTTCAATCTTTCACCATTGAGTATGATGTTAGCTGTGAGTTTTTCATAAATATCATTTATCACATTGAGGAATTTTCCCTGTAGGATTAGTTTTCTGTTTTTTTTTTTTTAATCATGAAGGTGTGTTGAATTTTGTCAAATACCTTTTCTGTTTTAATTCAGATGATCATATGTGTGTTTTTTACCTTCATTCTAATAATGTGATGTGTTACATTGATTGATTTTCTTGTGTTGAACCACCCTTGCATTCCTGCATAAATCATACTTGGATATGGTGAGTAATCCTTTTAATATGCTAATGGATTTGATTTGCTAATTTTTTTTAGGATATTTGTATCTATATTCATAGGGGTTTTAGTCTAATTTTCTTGTGATTTCTTTATTTGACTTTGGTATTATGGTAATACTGGCTGCATAGAATGAATTAGAAAGTGTTTCCTTCTCTTCAATTTTTTGGAAGTTTGAAAATGATTTGTGTGAATTCTTCTTTAAATGTTTGGTTGAGCTAACTCGTGAAGCCATCTGGTTTAAGATTTTTCTTTGCTAGGTGGTTTAAAATTAGTGGTATTGCCACTTTCATTTCTAATTTTAGTTATTTGCGTCTTCTCTCTTTTGTGCTTCATCAGTCTCGCCAAAGGTTTGCCAATTTTGTTAATCTTTTCAAAAAACCAACTTTTGGTTTTATAGATTTTTTGTCTGTTCTCTTTCTCTATTAGTTTCTGCTCTAGTCTCTATTATTTCCTTTCTTCTGCTGGCTTTGGGTTTTGTTTGCTCTACTTTTTCTAGTTCCGTAAGGTGTAAGTCAGGTTATTAATTTGAGATAGTTCTTCTTTTTAACATGTACATTAATAGCTATTACTTTCCCTCTGAGCACAGTTTTTGGGGCATCTCATAAGTTTTGGCATATTTTGTTTTCTTTCTCACTTGTCACTAAGTATTTTCTAATTTCCTTTGTGATTTCTTCTTTGACCTATTGATTGTTTAAGATAGTGTTGTTTAATTTTCACATATTTGTGAATTTTCATTTTTCCTTCTATTGATTTCTAACTGTATCTTGTTGTGGTCAAAGAAGATAGTTCGTTTTATATTTATTTTAAAATCTACTGAGATTTAACTTATGGCTTAACATGTCATCTATCATAGAGAATGTCTCATGTGCACTTGGATTTTTTTTTAATCGGGTGAGTGTTCCATATGTGTCTGTTAGTTCTATTTGGTTTTTGTGTTATTCAAGTCCACTATATTTTTACTTATTTTCTGTCTGTGTGTTCTATCCATTATCGAAAGTGGGATTTTGAACTCTCCAGCTATCTTGGTAGAACTGTGTATTTCTCCTTTGAGTCTATCAATTTTTGCTTTATATTTTGAGGTCTGTTATTAGGTGCAGAAATGTTTTTTGTTTTTTTTTTTTTTTTGAGATGGAGTCTCGCTCTGCCACCCAGGCTGGAGTGCAGTGGCCGGATCTCAGCTCACTGCAAGCTCCGCCTCCCGGGTTCATGCCATTCTCCTGCCTCAGCCTCCCGAGTAGCTGGGACTGCAGGCGCCCGCCACCTCGCCCAGCTAGTTTTTTGTCTCTACTAAAAAAATGCAGAAATGTTTATAACTGTTATATCTTATTAATTTGTAATGTCTGTCTTGTCTCTTGTAAATTGTTTTGATGTAAAGTCAATTTTGTCTGATATTTGCATAGACATTCCAGCCATCTTTTGGTTACTATTTGCATGGAATATCCTTTTCCATCTCTTTTGCTTTGAACATATTTATGTCTTTGGATCTAACACGAATCCTTTATAGACAGCATATTGTTGGGTGATGTTTTTAAAAATACATTCTGGCAATCTCCCTCTTGATTTAAAGAAATGACTATCAGCCAAATTACTGCCACTTTGCTACTTGTTTTCTATATGCCTTTGGGCTTTTTGTCCCTCCTTTTCTTCATTACTGTTTACCTTTATGTTTAATTTTTTTTGTAGCGAAATGTTTTGATTCTCTTTTCATTTCCAATTGTGTATATTTTGTAGCTTTTTACTTCGTGGTCATAGAGGAGATTATATTATATATAACAACCTAAAATTATAATACTCCAATTTGCATTTATACCAGCTTAATTTCAGTAATACATATAAAAACTCTGCTCTTATATAGCTCTGTTGCTCCTTTTCCTTTTTCTTTCTTTTTTTTAAATTTTTTTGAGATGGAGCCTCACTCTGTCACCCAGGCTGGAGTGCAATGGTGCAATCTTGGCTCACTGCAGCCTCTGCCTCCCGGGTTCAAGAGATTCTGCTGCCTCAGCCTCCCCAGTTGTTGGGATTACGGGTGTCTGCCACCATGCCTGGCTACTTTTATTTTTGTATTTTTAGTAGAGATGAGGTTTCACCATGTTGGCCAGGCTGCTCTTCAATTCCTGACATCAAGTGATCCACCTGCCTCTGCCTCCCAAAGTGCTGGGATTACAGGCATGAGCCACTGTACCTGGCCTCTGTCATTCCTTTTCTGTTGTCAGTGT